AAACCCCCACACCACAAAGTATCAGATGGTACTGTTAAGGCTAACAAGTTTTATTTGGTCTAATAGCTTTCATGGACTGAGGCATAAAAAGTTACTCTTAAAGGTGCCACATAATTCTCCATGCGCTGAAACAAATAAATAAATAAATAAATAAACCACTACCCCACAAAGTATCAGATGGTACTGTTAAGGCTAACAAGTTTTATTTGGTCTAATAGCTTTCATGGACTGAGGCATAAAAAGTTACTCTTAAAGGTGCCACATAATTCTCCATTGTTTGCGCTGAAACTGTCATCTTTAAAAAGCGAAAGACTTACAAAGACTGCCCACAGACTCAGAGGTCCACTGATTTGCTCCCCTGAAAATCTAAACCAAGGGAACACATAAAGCGGTTGGATTTAGTGATAAAATCTCTGGCTGTTTTGAACTAAATTAGCCAGCGTTTCCTCCCTCCAGCTGTTTCAGAACAGCAACAACAAATTAGACTGCTAAAACGAAGATACTCTGAGTATGAAAGGACAATGCACTCAATCCATTTGTGAACAAGCACAATGGGGGAACCAGTGGATATTATCTGGATTTTCAAAAGGTGTCCCTCACCAAAGACAGCTGAGAAAACTCCACAGTCAGGGGATAAGAGGGCAAGTCCTCTTATGGACTGAGAATTGGTTGAGAACCAGGAAACAGAGAGTAGGTGCCAACAGGCAATTTTCACAATGGGGAAAGGTGGTGTGCCCCAGGGATCTATCCTGGAACCGGTGCTTTTCAACCGGTTCATAAATGGCCTGGAGACAGGGAAAACCAGTGAGGTGGCCAAGTTTACAGATGACACAAAACTTTCCCGGGTTATGACGAGAAGGGATTGTGAAGAGCTCCAGAAGGATCTCTCCAAACTGGGAGAATAGGCGGAAAAATGGCAAATGCATTTCAATACATGAAAATGTAAAGTAATGCACTGTGGAGGGGAGGGAATCAAAACTTTAATTATCAGTTAATGGGTTCTGAGCTGTCCATGACGGATCAGGAAAGAGATCTTGGCGTGCTGGTGGACAGCTCAATGAAAGTGTCACCCCAGTGTGCAGTGGCAGTGAAGGCCAATTCCACTAGGTATCATTAAAGGGAGGATTGAAAATAAAACAACCAACATTATAAGGCCATTGTACAAAATGCTGGTAAGGCCACACCTGGAGTATTGCGTACAGTTCTGGTCACCACAGCTCAAAAAAGACACAGTGGAACTGGAAAACATGCAGAAGAAAGCGACTAAAATGCTGACTGGGCTGGGGCTCCCCTCTTATGAGGAAAGCATAAGAGCACTTGGGGCTCTTGAGTCTAGAGAAAAGGCACCTGAGGGGGACATGACTGAGATGTATAAAATTAGGCAGGGGGTGGATAAAGTGGATAGAGGGAAGCTCTTTTTCCTCTCACACAATACCAGAACCAAGGGACATCCACTCCAATTGAGTGTTGGGAGAGTGAGAAGAAACAAAAGAAAACATTTACTCAGTGTGCTGTTAGTCTGTGGAACTACTTGCCACAGGTTGTAATGATGACATCTGGCCTAGATGCCTTTAAGAAGGGATTGGACAGATTTCTGAAGGAAAAGTCCATCACGGGTGACAAGCCATGAGTGGGATGTATGATCAATATCCAGGCTTAGAAGGAAGGGACCTCCAAATGCCTGATGCAGGGCAGGGGTATCAGGTGACAGGTCTCTGGTGGTCTCGTGTGCTCCCAGAGGCATCTGGTGGGGCCACTGTCAGATACAGGAAGCTGGACTAGATGGGCCTTTGGACTGATCCAGCAGGGCTCTTCTTATGTTCTTGTTCTAAAAGAAATTGTGAGCCTCAATCCGATGCATCCTATTTTAAAATTCTGAGCCTTTTTGTTTTTACACCTGGTTAATAGATGGAACAAAACAAAACAGTACTGTAGATCCTAAAAGGCTAGAGTCTGTAAACCCTATTCTATACTCAAGGCAAATGATCATTGTTTGTGCATACTATTACTGCATGAAATAGTCACAGCACTTGAGTATAAAGTCACAACACAAAGAACATTCTTTATTGAAACGGAGACCTAGTCATACACCCCTGACTGCTGACATTTTAAAGGTTGAAGTCTTGAAGCTGGAGTTAAGGAAATTGAATGGCTGGCTTGCATCCGTGGGCAAGTTTAAATTAGGTACATACATACCTAGGACGCTTTAAATGCTTTTGTCCCAATATTTCTCTCCCCCCTCCCCCCAGTAGTTAAGAAAATTTGGGCACAGGGCTAGAACAGGTGCATATACGTGAAAAACGAAGAGAGTGTTCTTGCGCACTTGCAGAGGCCACGTATTCCCCGCCGCGCAACCAGAGGCCGTGGCTTCCCCTTCCCGGGGGTTTTGTCTCCTAGGCAACCTTGAGCCCCCAGCGCGGTCTGCCTTTCCGATCCAGCGAGGACTTGGCCTTTCACGGGTGTCCCAGTCCCGCGACACCACCCGCCCCGTACTCTCCTCTCCTTTCTGTCAGTACCATTGAATCCGATGATCGCCTCAAGCTGAAGTCCGGACAAATTGTCATCAGCGGGCTCGGTCGCCATTCCCTCTTAGACGCTCAGTGCCTAGGCCAGCGGCTGTATACGCCGGTTGCCCGGGAAACGGCACAGGCGCGCCACACGCACTCCCCCCCCATCCCCGGCAAGTAGCGCGTGCGTAGTAACGCCATTTTGCCCTGGGGAGGGGGCGTGGCCATGAGCTTGGGTGCGCCTTGGAGCGACCGGCGTGGCGAGGGAAGGTCTGCCACTGCTTGATGTGTCTATCCACGGAGGTTCACAGGGCTGGCGGGGGGGGAGCCTCACCCCCTTAGGGACACAGGGAAAGGGCATCGCGGGGTATTGTTGACTTCTGAGGAGCAGCATCTGCATCAGTGGCGTGAGTACTTTCAAGAGACGTTGAAAATACCCACGCCACTGGGTACAGCAGTGTTGTACTCGATTTTCAGTAGCGAATGGCAAGGGAAAACAAAACAAAACAAAAAGCAGGACCGAAGCCATGCTTACTAATGCATTGATTAGGGTTTACTACCAGAAAGAATGTTTCACATTGGAGATTTAAAGGCATCAGTAATGGTCGGGGTGTGGAGAAACCATTGGAGGAAAGGTGGTCTGGATTAGTCATATTTAATCTGGCGGAACCAAACGTGGAAGGCTGCTGTTAAGGACAAGAGTTGGTGCCACATGGCCCCTTGGTGAGAACCCGGGCTAGACACGTGTACAGTTGAAGGACATGGGTGCTACTGCAGTTTTCCATTCTGTACACATCAAACTGTAAATGGACAAAATCGTTCAGGTTACCGCTTTCTCCATATTTTTTAGGATTCTGTTGAAAGAGTAATGCCAGGATCAAATATTTATAGAAACTGCTAACAAATTCATCCAAAGTGTCACTATGGGGAGCCAGGAACGTGGCAAGGCTCCTAGCTGGACTCGGTGATTCATTGTCAAGAGTACATTCTCAGCACTTTGTCCTTCGTGTGGAGCAAAGCAATCATTTTAATAAACTAAAAATGCCTCAAATAACTCTGCCTCTCCATCTCTTTCTCTCTCTGTTTCTTCCACTTGACCTGCCTCCCTTCCTTCCAGCTACAGTAGGGAAGAAAAGCCTACGTTTGATCGGGGCTGTCCTACTTTCAGGCAAGCTGCCACTTTTCCCCCCTTTTCCTGAGGTAGGACAGGCAGCCAATTATGCTATCTTTGACAAGTGCCAGTGTGCCTGCCCTACTTTATGAGGCATCTGTACCTGTTCCAGCAAAAGGAACAGTTTCTCATTAGGAGTCTCTGAGCGAACGGTGGAAATTGAGCAGCCTGTATCCTCCCTTACTGTGCCTTCAGAGCCTTGTTAATGACTTGATGTGTTGCTCAGTTCATGGATCATTGGTCTCCACAACACCTGAACGAACCTGGGGAAGGCCTTGTTTCTCTTTTTGCCCCTTTCTATGTAAAATACACGTTTGGTTCCTCCAGGTTAAATATGACTTTTTGCTCCCCTCTATGCAACTCCAGGAGGCAGTGGAAGACAGGAGGGCCTGGCGTGCTCTGGTCCATGGGGTCACGAAGAGTTGGATACGACTGAACGACTAAACGATGATGCAAAATGTGAAGTAGGAACCTCCTCTATTTAAGCACAATAGATAGTTTTGAAGCACAATGGAGAAAAGCAGAGCCAACTCAAGATATTTGTGGTTGTCATCATTTGTTCATGGGTTGCTTCTCAGAATGGATACTTACAATTAAAAAACAAAACCAATTAAAAACAAAAAGAAGGGCAGGGTAATAGGCGTAATTACTGATAAAGCGCGGACTATAATGAGACAGGGCACATGCATTGTATGTGGTGCAAGGTAGTGTCTTTTCTGTTTCATGTGAGGTTTAGGGATGTTTTTTAAAAGGAGGACTAGAGATACTTTCACGTCAATGCAGTGTTGTTATTTTACATGCCCAGAAACTCAAGAACAAAGGCAACATTAACTTTCCCCCACAAGACAGACTGTCTTGCAGCTGTTTACATTGTGTGTTTTTAGTTTTATAATGTGACAGAAGTGTGTAACATTTTAGTTTGTTGATGAAATTTTGAAAATTCTGATTCAAAACCCAGAGTTTAATTCATCCTGAACATTACTACATGTTTGTGCAAATATGATTGTTTACACCTGTCGCGACTGCCACCTCCTCCTACGTCACCACAAGAGATGACAGGCCACGATCCTTCACACACACACACAGTACTTCTTCGCTGCCACCAACCACACAGAAACCTGACACCTCAGACTATGTATGGATTTTAAAATAAAAATAATGATTTATTGAATATAGACTTAAAAGGGAAATCAATGAGTAAATGAATCACTTGTTATACTATATTAACAGACCTTCACCCTGCACAATTCTTTATTACTTAACACACAGTTACCTAACCTATACCTAACCCTCTCACTCTCTAATTCCCCAACAACAACAACCTCCTCCCTCCTTGTACAACCCCCTTATATACACAAGCTCCACCCCTATAAGACCCACCTCCTGCCTTGCCATAGGCCAGGAAACTCCAGCCTTAGCCAAGACAGGCAGGTGACGTCATGGCACACGTCACAACACCAAATAATAACATTAAAATATTTAAAAATTATTGTCATTTCTGGTCCCAAAAAGGACTGCTGGGTCATTTGCTGATCAGCAAAATTACAGTGTGACACTTCCGGATAGGAAGGAGTAGCTAACTCTATGCCATTGCCCAGAGGATGACTGAGTATACTTGCAAAGCTTTCCACTTTTGAGGGAGACTCCTTCTATGTCCCCTTATTTCTATATTTATATAATATTTATATATTAATGTATTTCTATATTAATCAAAATTATCATCATTGTAGAAATGACATTATTAATATAGAAGGTATCTCTTTATCTCAAAAAAGAACTGTTAGCTTCATTTTGTCGTGAACCAAAATGAGATATTTTCTATGTCCAAATTACTCTCAGAGGAACTGATCAGCATCAACCAAAGGCTCCCAGGATATGTCTAGTTGTTGAGAGGTAGCACATACAATACAGAAATAAGTCTTTTAGTAAGACTAGGTGGTATAGTCCTCTCAAAAGATTTTACTGAAGAGGACAGCATATAAATATGAACCTACCCGGCACTTAAGATCTAGCCAGGGGGCCCTTTTGAAAGAGCCGTACCTTAAGGAGGTAAGAGGGACGGCTTGTAGACAAAGGGCCTTTTTGGCAGCTGCCCCCAGACTATGGAATGCCCTCCCGACTGAGATTCATCTGGTGCCGACGCTGATGACATTTCAGTGCCAGGTCAAAACCTTCCTGTTCCAGAGGGCTTTTAATTGAAATAATATTAGCTGTGGGTCCGATGGCAATTTTTATATATATTTTAAT